CCCCAAAACCCCAAAACCCCATTCAGCTAATATTAACTTACGAGTTAGCTTTTAAAAGTTAGATATTATAATATATTGAAAATTTAATTTATATAATTAGAACTATCAATGAAAACTACTCAAGCTCAATAATCCTAGAATCATCCTAAGAGTCCATAGCTCTTAGACAAAATGATTGCTCGATATAACAAAATGAGAAACACTTCTTAGACAACTAACTTCACTGCTCACGATCATATTCCTTAAAACTAGGCCTATATTAAGTTTTACTAGAAACTACTCAGCAATAGTCCTTGAAAACAGGTATCAGATTATAATGGAAGTCAAAGCTAAGATGAGGAGCAGAAACAGACTAACGATACTCAGGACAAAAGAGATAAACTGAGTAATAGTTTTCACTTAAATGAAAGCTACCTTGACTATACTAGCTCTGATGCCATGGCTAGTGGGAGTAATAACAGGAAAAAGTAGGTGTTCAAGATTATTGCTCCCCCTATATTAAGCCCCAGTTCATGCAAAAGACATCACATTAACAACGACAGTATGATGCTTAATAAAAATCAGTCAACGAAGCAGAGTTCAACAGTATTATCATCAAGTTAGGAGTTATACACTGGGTAACCTCACGAGGCTCTATATATTGACATTATCCCAGAATAATGTATTGAAAGTACTCCAAACAATCAAGCTAGTCTCTCCTCTAACCTGTCACCAGAAATTATTAAATCTAATAGCTCAGTCAAGAAGAGAGATAGGCAGCAGTTTACATTTGGCTAAAACAGTCTCTTTCTACAGTCTAATAGAGTGCAAACAGATCAAGATTCATACAGAGTGCTGCCTGTGATTGACCTTTATTCTTATGTATCTCAAGTTAAGATCGAAAAGAAGCTAAAGCCAACTTACAACCAAGATGAAAGCACAATGACTAGAAATAGCCACAGAAGAAATCTCCAATCGTCTTCAATGAATCCATATAAAAGATACCTAACTTTGAAGACCAAAACTTATAACAACAGTTAATTTTAAATGCTTGAAAACCAGAGAGTCATCAAGAAGAAGGCAAAACTGGCGAATCTTTTAAGCAGCTAGCATATTAACTAATAATTTGATAACAGCTATCTTCCTTAGAGACATTATTAATAGATTGTCCATACTAACAATAGTAGTTAAGAGAGGAATAAAACTCAGAATCTGTCCAGAAATAACTAAACTCAGCCTAACATTAATAGATCAATGATTCTCAATCAAAAGAAGACAGTCTTTGATTAAAGCATATATCAGAGTAAAGAAAGCATTAAGAATGCTGATTTTGCAAGGCATTATTAGAAGTAGTTGTTGAAAGAGGAAGTAGACCCAAATATCACTTACAACTTCAAATCCTCTAAGTTTTCGACCACCACTAGAAATCAATTCCAAACTCAATAAAAAGCAATGAATAAAAAATTCCTGATTCCAAACACCTAGGAATTGATCAAAATCCAAGATTTCGACATTCAAAAGCATAATAGAAAGCGAGTTGAATACAATAAAAAGCTAAGGTCACTGCTGGAATAAAAGACTACAATTCCACAGCCTTCTTAGCAATAGATATCCTAACATAAAATCGAAGCCATAAACCTTGACCACACTCAGAGTAAAATAATATCTGATTAAATCAAGTCAGTGAAAAGGAGGCTTAGAGTAAAGCCTATCAATTTGGACATTATTAATTGCTTTTGACATTTCTAATTTGAATTAAATGAATCATCATTAAATATGATATAATCATAATATCTTAAACTTAATTTCATAAATTTGCTTCAAATGAATAACATTCATATTTTATTAGTTATCGTAGGTTCTTAATTATGATGCTAACTCTTCTTAAACAGAGGAAACATGTACTAGTGATCGAATTCCTTAAACCATTATATAGATTTAGGATATTTCCTCGGCTCTTCTGATGCCTTGTATTCTTCATCATTCTTATGCTAATCATCTAATAGTAGGTCAAGCAAATCCTTATTCTCTAGATTTTCATTGTCTGGCTTGATATCCAACTTTTGAGCTATCAATCCCATGCTAGAACCTAGTATGACAGTAGTCAATAACACAACAATCTGAGTGGTTGTTGTCAATATCTCAGAATTATTTGTATTGATTTATATCACTAATCCAAAAGCAATAGCTCCTCTGATAATCCCTCCTATCGAAATCAATATGGTTTCATTCCATTTCAGGCCATTCTTTATTTTCCTCTCTTAATTCCTATTCATTATCCTTTGTAGTATATTTAGAAAGTAAACTGGAATGATAACTGAGATGAATCTAGCTATAACAACACCAAGCAAAACTACAATAATCAAACTTGGATAAACAAATTTAGTTTGAATGGAAAGTGCACTTAGGCCTAAGTATACAAATAAGAATGATTCAGCAATTTATGATGCAGTTTCGACTATAATCTTGGATGCTACCTGGCACTCTTGACTCACATTATGGTAGGCATAATGAGACATCGTAAAACCACAGCAAAACAAAGTAATGATACCCGATTGTTCGAAATGCTCTGACAGCAAGTACGAAGTATATGCGAATACAAGTATTATGATAATCTCCTTGTGAGGCTCATTGTGAAAATTTGGCATGTGTTTAAGAATCAAAGATGTGAACAGCCCAACTGATATTCCTAGCAATAGCGAGCAGATCGACAACTATATAAACTAAAATGACATATCAATCAAGTTCTCTCTCGATATTATTGAATCCCCCTTATCACTTGCTCCTTCATTGTTTAAAGTCTAATTTTTAATGAGCTCATTAATTGCTCTAAATAGCAGTATTGAAACTGAATCATTAACAATACCCTCCCCGAATAATACTGAATTCAGAGTTTGATATTTATCTTCACTAATCAAGGTCTAGACAGCTATTGAATCAGTTGCACACAAGACACTTGCCTTAAAATTCTTGAATAAAGATGATAACTTACCAAAAGCAATAGTTCTAAAGGCTGAATAAAAGCATCTTGACCGAATATCATTTGATTCGCATATATCAGTATAGTAGATTGAACAATCATAGTTATGATGGTACCAATCACTCCTAGAGTTAGGATATAGGCAATGTTCTTAACAAAATTCTTTCTCTTTAAAGTGTAGCCTGCAGCAAATATGATAGGAGGCAGTATCACATAGAAGAAACTTCTCTCAGAAAACTGAATGCTCTCATGAAGCACCTATGAAAGATTAATGCTAGTTATTTACTGATTTCAAGATAATTGCAACTATAAATCCTAGAATCACTGCCACAGATGATTCATGCAGGTAGGATATCTAATAAATGTTAGTTTTTAATGAGCTTTACCTTTGAGTGTGAGAGAAAATGAGAAGTCAAAGTGTAAGATAAAGTCAGTAATGCACAGAAAATGAGAGTTATTGCTAGATGCTCAGCCATTTATAGTATTATGTCTGTTTGTTTTTAAAACTTCTCTAATCATTTGCATATATGGGGTTTTGGGGTTTTGGGGTTTTGGGGTTTTGGGG